GACCTGCAACAGTGCATGCAACACCGCCCCCTACCGTCACAAAATATGGTGTGTCATTGGTTCACAACAAGCTCCAAACAGTCAGGAAGTTGTTTCATTTTCTGTTTCCTTATGGTAGTTGAACTAGAAGATTCATCTTTAGGGAAATATTTCCAGACTATTGATGCATTTCTACCTGTTTGTCAAGACTGGGCCTGCTCTGCTCCATCTGTCTGCTTGAAGGAATCCATTTTGTAACCCGCGCCGGTGCGGATCACGTGACACGTGACGCAATGACGTCACGGCGGCGTAATGACGTCACCACGAATACTCGACGTGAAATTAAAATCCTCGATAGTTGTCCTAGGAATCGATGTGTAGATTACTCGAGTAGCCTGTTAAAGCCCTAGCAGGTATAAAGAGAATAGGAGGGGACCCAGGATAGACCCTTGCGGAAACCCCCCATTTAAGCTCTACCGCTGCAGAACTAAAATCCTTGATGGAGACACAAAAGGATCTGTCAGCGAGGTAAGATCTGAACCAATTGAGGGCTGACCTTGTGATGCCCACCCACTGCTCCAATCTAGCAATGAGGATCTCATGGTCGATGGTGTCAAAGGTGGCTGTGAGGTCCAATAGGACAAGCAGCACAGAATCACTGGTATCGGTCGTTAAGAAAATGTCATTACAGACCTTCAACAGGGCAGTTTCAGTGCTATGGAGAGGTTTAAAGCCAGATTGGAATAGCTCTAAGATGGCGTGATCCTCTAGGAAGCACTTCAACTGGGACTCGACTATTTTCTCCAGTACTTTAGAAACAAATGGGAGTTTGGAGACAGGCCGGAAGTTGGAAACGACTGAGGGGTCAAGGTTTGTTTTTTCAGGAGAGGCTGGACAGCAGCATGTTTAAAGGATTTTGGCACCACGCCAGTGGATAAACTACTGTTTACTATGGCAAGAATGGACGGACCTAGAGTAGGAAAAACCTCCTTTAGTAGTCGAGGGGGGACCACATCAAAGGGGGAACCAGACGGTTTTAAGCTGCACATGACCTGCTCTAGAGAAGATAGACTGATGTGTTCAAAATGGTCAAATGGAACTACAGATTGAGGTGGGATAGATGGGTCATGAGTTGGATGGGAAATGAGAGCCCGGGTGGTCACAATTTTTTCCAAAAAGAAATGTAAGAAGTTGTCGCACAGCTCAGTCGAGGCTTCCAGAGGTGATGGTTCAGTGAGGTGGAGAACAGAGTTTAGGGTAGAGAAGAGAAGAGGACACGTGGGTTGCGAGAGTTTGAAGTTATGATATCAGAGAAGTATTTGGATTTAGCAGCTTTCACTGCTTTCTGATAACAGCGCCAACTCTTTTTAAGTATTTGAAAAAAGACCTGTAGCCTGTCTTTCCTCCACTTGCGCTCCGCCCTCCTACATTGCTGCCTAACGGCCTTGGTGACGTCACTCAGCCAAGGTTCTGCTCTGAGTTTTGATTCTTTGGTTTTAACAGGCGCAACATGATCCAGAGTCTTTAAGCAGACAGAGTTGAACTGGGATGTCAGTGCCTCCATAGTGGTGAGAAACACCGGGGGCTGAATGATCATTTCAAAGGTATAAGCATCTGTGAAGCGTGCGGCAGAAAAATGGTTAATTGGGATTGAGGAGGTCTTCAAAGTATTCCGCCCACCGACCCACAACATCCCGAGTTGAGGTCAGCAGCACACCACTCCCACTATAAACAGTGTTGGTGGCGTACCGCTTTCCCCCCGAGACGCCGGATGGTGGACCAGAATCGCCTCAAAGCCGTGCGGAAGTTGTTCTCCATGGCCTCTCTGAACTCCTCCCATGCCCGAGTTTTTGCCTCAGTGACCACCCGAGCCGCATGTCGCTTGGACTGCCGGTACCCATCAGCTGCTTCCGGGGTCCCACAGGCCAAAAAGGCCCGATAAGACACCTTCTTCAGCCTGACAGCATCCCTCACCAACGGTGTCCACCATCTGGTTCGAGGGTTTCAGCCGCGACAGGCACCGACAACCTTGCGGCCGCAGCTCCGGTAAGCCGCCTCGACAATAGAGGCATGAAACATGGTCCACTCAGACTCAATGTCCCCCACCTCCCTCGGAACATGTTCAAAGTTCTCCCGGAGGTGGGAGTTAAAACTCCGTCTCACAGGAGACACTACCAGACGTTCCCAGCAAACCCTCACAATGCATTTGGGTCTGCTAGGTCTGACCGGCATCCTCCCCCACCATCGGAGCCAACTCACCACCAGGTAGTGATCAGTGGACAGCTCCGCCCCTCTCTTCACACGAGTGTCCAAGACATGTGGCTGCAGATCAGATGAGACAATGACAAAGTCGATCATCTAACTGCGGCCTAGGGTGTCCTGATGCCAAGAGCACATATGGACACCCTTATGCTTGAACAAGGTGTTCGTTATTGACAATCCATGACGAGCACAGAAGTCCAACAACAGAACACCACTCTGGTTCAGATCAGGGGGGCCGTTCCTCCCAACCACACCCCTCCAGGTCTCACTGTCATTGCCCACATGAGCATTGAAGTCCCCCAGCAGAACAAGGGAGTCCCCAGGAGATGCACTTTCCAGTACCCCCTCCAAGGACTCCAGAAAGGGTGGATAATCTGAACTGCCATTTGGTGCATAAGCACAAGCGACAGTCAGAACCCGTCCCCCCACACGTAGGCGGAGGAAGGCTACCCTCTCATTCATTGGGGTGAACCCCAACACACAGGCACCAAGTTGGGGGGCAATAAGTATGCCCACTCCTGCTCGGCGCCTCTCACCAGGGGCAACTCCAGAGTGGAAGAGTGTCCAACCCCTCTCAAGGAAACTGGTTCCAGAGCCAGAGCCATGCGTAGAGGTGAGTCTGACTATTTCTAGCCAGAACCTCTCAGCCTCACACACCAGCTCAGGCTCTTTCCCCACCAGTGAGGTGACATTCCACGTCCCAATAGCCAACTTCTGTAGCCGAGGATCAGACTGCCAGGGTCCCCGCATTGCACCCGACCCCTTTGGCCCCTCCCACAGGTGGTGAGCCCATGGGAAGGGGGACCCACGTCTCCTCTTCGGGATGTGCCCAGCCGAGCTCCATGGGTAAAAGCCCGGCCACCAGGCGCTTGCCCGCGTGCCCCACCTCCAGGCCTGGCTCCAGAGTGGGGCCCCGGTGACCCACGTCCACGCAAGGGAACATTAGGTCCATTTATTTCTCTCATCATCGGGGTCTTTGGGCTGCATTTTGTCTGGTCCCTCACCATTGTGTTTGGTCAAACTGAAAACCCTGCTGAGTTAAAACTACAGAGGGTTGGCTGGTCCAAACTTGACCCAAAGCCAGGTTACAAACTTTAGAGTGTGGCAATTAATATTTTTGAAACACTATTTCAGTAAAAAAGTCACAACTCAAAAAACAATTAAACATTTGTACAAAAGAAAACTTAAAGCCAGTTCCATGTAGGGGTGCACCGATTGCAGTTTTCTGGCCGATCATTGATTTCTAAAAAGTCTGAGCTGCCGATTCCAATTTTGGTCGAGACCGATTTTGTTTTATAAGCGACACCGTCAGATGTTATAAAATCACCTTCAATTTTCAAATATTTTATTGAAAAACATACCCTCAAACAATATTCTAGAAACAATACAAACTTGTTTTCATACTCAGAAATATAAATGAAGTTCAGACAATTGTTGTTAAAACAAAACAAAACAAAAACAACAAATCTGTAAAATCGGTTTCTCGTGTAAGTATCGGCCAATTTCCTATTTCCCAAAATTAAAGACATTGGGTCCGATAAGTCGGCCGGCTGAATTACCGGTGCACCCCGTTCTATGCAGTGGCTGGCATGAATCGTTCCTCGTCATCTATTGTTACCTGGAGTTTTATTTGATTGAAAGCAACAGCTCAACAACACTTCAAATTTATGAATAAGAAAAAAAAAAAATCTATATTTATAAACTGAAGTGTTGCATGCATATTTATTCACCCCTTTTGTTTTGACACAACCAAAATCATTATCACTTAAATAAGATCAATTTGTGAAAAATCTAAATACCAAGTGATCTGTGTAGACTAGATAGCGGAAAGATAAGAGGATCTGTCCATATAGGCCCACTAGAAGCTGCACAGTGCTGGACTTCATTAAAGGCTGCTGGACAGAAAAACAACAAAAAACTGGACTATTTAGAAATTCTTCCTCAAACATGTGGCAGGTGATGATGTGGTCAGATGAGACCAAACCATCAACCCTGATCATGCTCAAAGAACTAGTCCTACAGTAAAACACGGTGGTGACAGCAGCATGTTGTGGGTCCTGTGTCTGCTGTCTGACAGCAAATTATAAATACTGTACACACAAATGGTATTAATTCATCACAGCTCAACGTTTCTAAATATGCAAAATGTCAATGTTAAAACTCAAAAACTGCATAGAAAATTTGCAATTCAAAATTTTATTATTTGGAAAATTGTCGCAAAAGTTTAAGATACATTTCAATAAGTGCACACCAATTCAAAGTGAACGTCATATATGGCAAAGGAACTGTCAAAATGTGTCATTTACAGCAACGAGAACTCCAAACCAGCAGCAAGAAACACATCAACAAAGATGACAGGTTCAAGTAAGACTTTTCATTACAAAGTATGTTAGTCGTTTAAATTAATAAGCATTTCATTACAAAAACAGATCAAATTTATGAGCAATTATTTATCAACAGAAAATGTTACACGGAGAAACATTTTACCATCAATAAAACATTATCAGCTCAATGTGCAAACTTAAATAGATTATGAAAATATTTAACAAGCATAATATACAAGAACGCATTTAACACTGATGATGGAAACAAAAACTGCACAAATGAGTTACTGCTTTCAAAAATATTTAAAACAGATCAAGAAGCACATTTTCACAATTATCACAATAAAAGAAATAAGGGATCAGCAATTCAGACAAAATGAGTCCATTTTTCTAAAACACCACAAAACAACGTTTCGTTTTATGTGATCTCCTCCAGTTACACAAGCGGTAACAAACTACCAGAATCGACTTTTCTACTAGCGGTATCTACACGATGCAACACTGCGGTGGGACAGAAGAACTAAACACAGGAAGTATGGATGAGTACACGGGAAATCCATCAGGACGTTTCTGAGCTAGAACATTTGAAATTAAATTATGCACAACATCAAGGCTGCATCAACACTGTCGCTGACTGTACGATAGATGGCTCAGTTATAGCTCACTTACCAAATCACTAGCATCTATGGAACCTAAAATCCACGTCCTAAACCCTAATCACGACATGATGTGCGGAGAGAAAACTGTACAATTAAAAAACGACTTTACACCACAAGTGAAGACGGTGCCTTGCTTCTCGTCACCACACAAGATGTTTGGGTACGTCACTGACGGCACATCAGGTGCTCTGTGCTCGCACTACACTACAAACACGAGGAACATTTCAAGCTGCATACAAGTGAAGAGTTGTCCACTCGTTCGTTGTGTGGGATGAGACTGTGTGCGCGGGAGAAGAACGCATGCAGCATGTTTTCACAACCTTTTAGCAAACAGGCTGAAATAGAAAAATCTGATACTCAAATCAAGGCTGGACCAGTACAACTTCTCAGTGTTACAAGTCCTCTCATACACAAGTTTCCAGGTGCGAATGGGTGGTTGAAGTGTCGTCTCTGGTGGAGTTGCGCACTTTGTTTCTCAGTGTTGGTCAGGCGCTCAGTGCAATCATCCACTCCGTGTTGCCGACTGTATGTTTAGGCCCGAGCGTCTGCCTCTTAATGTTTTATGTGCCAGTGTGTTGAAAACTGCCTTTTCTTAGCTGTGATGTGGGACCGACTATAGGAAAGCGCTTGGGTTTGCTCGTGGATCCTTTTGGTTTCTGTAGCGCACAGCGAGCCATACTCCCAGGATCTACAGAAGGACGACAAAGAAAAATGTATTTTACTGGATGTTAGGGGTGGAGGTTAGAATCTACTTTTAATACATCACCATGAATAAGTCTGAGGTGAACATTTTCAAAAATAAATCATTTAATGTCATTAATGTCATGTTGAGGAATGAAGAAAGTGGAACTTCAAAAAGCTGAGCTGCCGCTCCCAGACAGTTCGTGGCGTGCACACAACAGAGACAAGAACAAGATGGCTGACCAGTACTCTGATTACTTTCAATTAAAAACAACAAGAACGTTGACAAATGTCACACTATACACAACTTGTGTACCAGTATTTGTTTTCACCCAAAGAGGGAAGAAAACAGCTGGTATTATATTGGCTGCCGTTGCTAACAAAGCAGTAAATTATTATCTCGATATTTTTAAGATAAATTGCGATATACGATATATATCTCTGTTTTTCAAATGTATTTCTGAGTCAAAGCTTTGTCCCAGTTGTCACACAGGCACATTTATTAACAAACAGCTGTAACTGTACAAAATAAATGTTTAAAAAATAAACTATTTACATATATTAAAGTTTATTTAAACAAAAAAACAACATTTATTTACAAATATTAAATAATAATCCTCTTCAGCTGCGCTGCCTTCATGACGTTAGTAAGCGTGTATGAAGCAGCACGTGAGGGGCTGTGTTTATTCAGTGAGGGAGGAGGGGTCGTGTGAAGGTGGCGGCACAGACGGACAGAAAAGAAGAACTACAGGTGTCCCTCGTTTATCGTGGGGGATCCTGAAGCCCTGTGATAATCTGCCAAGATGGCCACGCTCAGCCAAGTCGCAGCTTCACAGGCTCCCGGTGAACTCCATCTTTTTTTGTTCCTGTCGTTTTTGGTTCAACCTTTTTATTGCACCTGCAGTGCACATCCACAGTACGGGTATGACCGCGACACACGTGGAGTTTTTCTCTGTGTTGCAGCCTTGCCATCCTGCCATTGTGGTTCAGTCCTTCCAGCCTCAGGCTCAGGCCTGTCATGGCAGCTGTCTCCATGATCCTCCAACTGCCTGCACAGACCAAACTCTACGGACCTGTTCGGTTCCATGGGGAAACCCCGGATGTTCTCGGTCTGCAGACCTGGTTCTGGAAGGCTGTCTGGGAGGCAGCTGCTGCGGTCATCGTTACCATTGGGTTGCTAACAGGACCTGCTAACACTGCTGAAAACACCACGCTGCTAACCGAACCGCACTGCTAACCGGACCATGCTGCTAACCGGACCATGCTGCTAACTGGACCATGTTGCTAACTGGACCATGCTGCTAACCGGACCATGCTGCTAACCGGACCATGCTGCTAACCGAACCTCGCTGCTAACCGAACCTCGCTGCTAACCGAACCTCGCTGCTAACCGAACCTCGCTGCTAACCGAACCTCACTGCTAACCGAACTTCACTGCTAACTGGACCATGCTGCTAACCGGACCATGCTGCTAACCGAACCTCGCTGCTAACCGGACCATGCTGCTAACCGAACCTCACTGCTAACTGGACCATGCTGCTAACCGGACCATGCTGCTAACCGAACTTCACTGCTAACTGGACCATGCTGCTAACCGAACTTCACTGCTAACTGGACCATGCTGCTAACAGAACTTCGCTGCTAACTGGAACATGCTGCTAACTGGACCATGCTGCCAACTGGACCATGCTGCTAACCGAACCTCACTGCTAACTGGACTATGCTGCCAACTGGACCATGCTGCTAACTGGACCATGTTGCTAACTGGACTATGCTGCCAACTGGACCATGTTGCCAACTGGACCATGTTGCTAACTGGACCATGCTGCTAACCGGACCATGCTGTTAACTGGACCATGTTGCTAACTGGACTATGCTGCCAATTGGACCATGCTGCCAACCGGACCATGTTGCTAACTGAACCTCGCTGCTAACCGAACCTCGCTGCTAACCGAACCTCGCTGCTAACCGGACCATGCTGCTAACCGGACCATGCTGCTAACTGAACTTCACTGCTAACTGGACCATGCTGCTAACCGAACTTCACTGCTAACTGGACCATGCTGCTAACAGAACTTCACTGCTAACTGGACCATGCTGCTAACTGAGCCTCACTGCTAACCGGACCATGCTGCTAACTGGACCATGTTGCTAACTGGACCATGTTGCTAACTGGACCATGCTGCTAACTGGACCATGCTACTAACTGGACCATGCTGCTAACTGAACCTCACAGCTAAATGGACCATGCTGCTAACTGGACCATGTTGTTAACTGGACCATGCTGCTAACTGGACCATGCTGCTAACTGGACCATGCTGCTAACCGGACCATGTTGCTAACTGGACCATGTTGCTAACCGGACCATGTTGCTAACTGGACCATGTTGCTAACTGGACCATGCTGCTAACTGAACCTCACTGCTAACCGGACCATGCTGCTAACTGAACCTCACTGCTAACCGGACCATGTTGCTAACCGGACCATGCTGCTAACTGGACCATGCTGCTAACTGAACCTCACTGCTAACCGGACCATGTTGCTAACTGGACCATGTTGCTAACTGGACCATGTTGCTAACCGGACCATGTTGCTAACTGGACCATGTTGCTAACTGGACCATGTTGCTAAGATAACCTCCCTGTCATAAGAACCACTCTGCCAGTCGGAAAGTGCTGCTGTAGATTTATTTCTTTTTCACTTTTGGCACCTTGCTTCTGTATTTTTGTTGCGTGCTTTGAATAAATCCTAGTTTATGTTTGTTGAGTTTGTTAGTTCTCACATTAAGTGTGTAAATTATAGCCAAACAGAACCTAAGAGAATCGTGCTGCTGTTGTTTGGTGTGTTGTTTTTCACTATTAGTGACCGACGTCTATCTAAAATCTTTTAGCGTACCGTTTGGCGTTTAACGTATATCTTAGTTAATATCTTAGATCCTTATTTACCGTTTCTTTTTACACTTTATATTTTTGCTATCGTTTGATGTAACTGGGACCCTGTGTGCAGTTTTGTTCCACCTCGTGTACTGCATGTGATGCGAATGACAAAGAAACTCTGACTCTGATAAGTGAAAAACCACGAAGTAGGAATAGTAGTACAAGTAGTAAGTAGTAGTTTATTTTAGTATATATATTTTTATTATTAGTTAGTATATATTTTATTAATTTATGGGGAAAAAAAAGAATATGAAGATACATATAGTACATCGCGATTTATCTTAAAATATCAACATATCAATTTTGGTCCATATTGCCCAGACCTATCACAATTACTACAAATTGCTCCCTACGCCATATGTGGTGTTAGCAAGTACCCGCATCTCAGTCAAGTGGAACTTCTAGTACAATACTATACAGCACTGTAGTCGCGGTTTGCGCCGATAACTTTTAATTTTTTTTATTTTTTAAACAGCAGAAAAATGGTATCTAAGAAGCTTTGTTACTACAGGACTTGCAATAGTGATGGCCAATGTGCTGACAAAGCTCTTGCTGTTTCCAAAGCTGATTACTCAGGGAGAGAATGCCAGGATGGAGATGGTATTTTAGGATGTCTGGTGTTTTAAAAATATTATCCTGCCACTTAGCCTCATATCTTGTGTTCAGTGTCCGGTACAAGCCTTGGCTGAGTTAAGCACCTAAATAGAGAAACTGGTGCAGGCAGGTTGAAAAAGATGTTCAGTGCTCCTGTTAGTTTCTGAGACAAAGGAAAAAGTTGGTAAAACATAATGGATGGACACTGCAGTCACTGCTATGGGATTACAGTACCTCTGTCAGTCTGTTGTTCCTTCCAACAAAGTGTTTCAAACAGATATAAGTACTCCTGTTTACCCCCTTTAGTTGGCAGCTCAGAACACCACATACAGAACACCATGGACTTTGTGGATAAGGTGAGTAGTGGGAAAGCAGTCTAAAGGTGGTTTCTATGTAAAACTAGCAAAGCAATGCAGAAATCTTGGATTTATTTTCCGTTTCCAAGGAAAGAATTGATTGTGGTAATAAGAGAACTTAGATCTTATCAGTCTTTAAAGAACGTTTTCACTTTTGAAAAACAAGAGTAAATAAAACAATTGCTACCAGCTAACCGGGCTAACAAAGTTAAAATAAAAGAAAAGGCTGGCAAAATCATCCTTCATCCATCCTGCTGGATGGATGACAGTCATTGTCATCCATCCTGCTGGATGGATGACAATGCCTGTCATCCTACAGGAAATCTTCTGTCATCTGTGCTACTTTTCACCAAGGCAAAGGAGCACGAATCAGCACAGAAACACCGGGAACGCCACACGTACCTTTTTATTAATTCAGCCCAGTTGCCGGACATGCTAGTCCCCTACATGTAATCAGCACTTGAGCTGTGTCTTATTGTATCCTTCAATATATGCCAAGTCGATTTTGACCCCGGGGACATCTTGGACATGGACAAAAGCTGGCAGCCATCATGCACACAGTCTGCTGCATGGTGAACCTGACACCCGGGACATGGAGGATTTCCCACAATTCCTGTGACATCATCCCTGACCAATGCTATTTTATCTACCACCAGGCTCAGTGGTGGAGCCAGGGTGTGGCCAATGGTGTCCTTGGACACCATAGATTAATCCTCAACCTAATCATTTGAGGAAACTATACTTTTTATAAAAAACCTAAAAGCATAGTTTCCTCAAATAAACGGGGTGGCCGGTTTGTATGTTTGTTTATTTTTTCATTCATTCATCCACTCACGCACGCGTGCACACACACACGCACACACGCACACACACCATATAGCAGTGGCCATGTTGGATTTTGACGTGGCAATCCAATTTCAAAAGGAACATTTCTTACACGTAGATGCAGTGACACGACAAAAAGACGTTGGTAACTCACTTATCAAGTTATCACACTCAACATTAACGGACAGAGACGCAGAGCATTTCTAATTCACCCTTTTTGCTTCGCAACGATGGACTAAAAAACTCAGAGCCAACATTAACTCGAAGCGCTGATTAAAGAAGCATCAGTTTGTGTAAATACAACTTGGATGCTGTGCAGTGTTTGAAAAATGAGCCGTCACCTCTGAGAAGCTGAAGAAGAGACCAACACCTCCAAGGATCTTTAGAGCCTCTGTTGCATGATGCAGCATCTTATCCCCACAAGCTAAACACTTGCTGTCCTTTTTGCAACTCTGTCGTGAGAGACACAAGATGACCAGGACAATTTAAGCAACTTGTGATCCATTTAGTGACCAGCAGGATGAGTCAACAGCTCGTGGTCTCAGCCAGAATTCACCAGAAGTTATTCTGGGGAAAGGAGCTAGTTTGTTCAACTTGACATTTTTTACTTACGGCAGTACAACTTTGCAAATCTGCTTCATACAGAGAGATGATGTCGCTGTTGTTAAACAGCCCACAGCAATTCAGCTGGTTCTCCAGGTCGATCTTTGTATTGTTCTCCAGCATCTGCCAAGTTGAGTTCAGAAGCACCACCTGGAAAAGACGAGAAAAAAACTAAACAAATAAAAAGGAAACAATATTTTTACAGTCCATTTCTATGCAGATCATTTTTTAACGTTTTAAATCAAACAACGTTAGTTCACCTGCTGTCTTTGGTTCATTGCTAAACAAGAACATGAAACTCCGAACTGGAACAGGAAGACAATGAACAGAATGACCATGTACTGCAGGGAAGTCAAGGAAACACTGAAACTAGGTGGAGAAATAAAAAACTGTCTTTACAATAAAACAACATGTCAGAATGTTTGTTTTGGGCGGCACGGTGGTGCAGTTTGGAGAGCTGCTGCCTCCCAGCGAGCAGGTTGCCCCGGTTCGATCCCGGCCTGCCCCTAGGTGAGAGAGAGTGTGAATGGTTGTTTGTCTCGTTTGTCTCCATGTGTCCCTGTGATGGACAGACCTGTCCAGGGCGTCCCCGCCTCTCGCACAGTGACTGCTGGACATGGCACCAGTGACCCGAAAAGGAAGAAACGAGTAAAGATGATGGACGTTTTTCATAATTTATTCATTAAATACTGAACTTTTGAGCTTAAATTACAGAGTAGTTCATTTTATATTAATGAGGCTCCCAGAAAAGGACAAACCCAACGTTATACATTTATTAGAAAACACACACGATGGGAGATGAGTGTGTGTGTCTGCCACTCCAAAGAAAGGATACAAAGAAGAGCATGACTTGGTGGTGGTGTACTGCTCCGATGAGTCCTACGATGGCGATGAGCAGGAGGAAGACACCCACTGCTATGACCCCTCCAATGATGTGGATGCTCGACACCAAGCCGAACCCTTTCCCCCATGCTGCAACTGCAACGAGCAGGAGCCCAACGAGCTGCGAGAAGCAGAAGGAACTACGTGAACCACAGCTGGCTGCAGCGGGACACATCGGCCCGCCCAAACTTCATCGAAGTCATGATAAAGATGGTGAACTTGTCTTGCAATCATCAGACTTCATGGTATTTATGACGGGTAAAGGTTGACACAGGCCATAAACATTGAAGGTTTGATTTACACAAAGACAGAAACTGATGCTCAAGAAGGACCATCAGCCTCCGGGTTCAATTGTCCCCCTCTTACAATGCTGTGATTGCTAGTATCACTCAGCCCTCTGTGAGCAGTAAACAGCCATCAGGTGCTAATGATCCATTGTTAGGCTGATGGTCCTTCTTGAGCATGTGATCAGCTGGTTTTGGTTGTCAGCAGCAAACTGGTTGATCCACTCTGAGATGGTGCTATTTAAGAGACTGAGCTGAAAACAGCACCTCAGACTGAGGAAGTCTCTCGGATGAGAGACGAAACGTTTCTATATTTTTTGTTGTTTTGCTTTGTTTTGTTTTTTTGAATGTCCAGAAGACCAGATTTAACTTTTTTAGATTTTTCTACCTGGATTATTGAGCATGCATCAGGACAAACAAATAAATGTTTTTAAGTGTTAATAATGTTAAATTCTTGTTAAAGTCCTCCCGTGCACGCTCCCACGGCCACCATTTGACAGCCCATCGATTTTTGGCACAACACCGGCCCACATTTCCAGGTTGTCAACGGTGACGCGTAATAAATGCGGCGCGTCAGTGGTGATGTATAATAGATGCGACGTATACGGCGAAGAAGCGCATTTATGGATTTTTCCACTTTTTTAGACAAATATGGTTTGATGCGACTTACAGGGCGGTGCGACATGTCCGCCGGAAAATATGGTAGTCAAATAAATAGGGTATTAAAATATGCCCCTAAAATAGTAGGGGCGGCTGTGGCTGAGTGGTTAGAGCAGTCGTCCTCCAATGCAAGAGTTGGGGGTTCAATTCCACCAGCAGTCACATGCTGAAGTGTCCCTGGGCAAGACACTGAACCCCTCATAGCCTCTGATGTGTGTCCCATCAGTGTATGAATGTGATGAAGCTCTGATTAGTCTTTGTAGAGATCTAGTATAGATCTGTGTGAATGGGTAAATGAGGCACAGATTGTTGTAAAGAGCTTTAACTCGATAAGATAGAAAGGTGCTATAAGTACAGTCCATTTACCATTTAAATTGTCATTCACCAATGAAATGCAAAAACCTAAACAAAGTAAAAAACAACTACTGAACCACACTCATGAACTAGTTGAACCTAAAATGACAGTAGGTGATGTCTTGAGCTGTGGGCTCCAGATTGAAGTCATTTCCAAACATCTCAACATCGTGATATGAGCAACTATTATTACGATTATCTCTTCAGCAGAAAAACATGTTTTAAATAAAATGTCCATGACCCAGCGCAGGTGTTCTGAAGTATTTCAGAATGTTTTGTTCACATGAGGAACGTCTCCGTGCTGCATGACTCAGCTGTGTACAACACGACTGGTGGTGTGTGTGTGTGTGTGTGTGTGTGCACGTTTCATCTTCCTGAAACGTTTCCAGATCACATCTCAAATTCTTTTAGCATCGAGTCGACTGGGAACAGCAAAGTTTCAAGCATTCTGTCACAGCGTCAGTCTCCATATGAACTACAAGTAATTATATGAACAGTTCTGTTATTTTTTCCAATGGCACTCATCCTTTGTGAAGGAAGGTTTTGTTTGATATCCTTCATATGGTAGCAAAAGTCTGCCTGACTATTGGAACCAAGATAAAGTACACCACAAAGTAAAGTATTCCTTTACGAGTCCATAATAAACAGTCAAGATACTTTTATTTAACCCGTTAGTAGATAATCTAATAAAAGTATTGTGAAAGAGACATGACACCACCTCTAACAGCTGTTTAGTTTTAAATGTGCAAAAGCTCCTTACTGTGAGTACAACTATTTTTTAAATATTATGGCCTAACGTGACGCCTGAACGAATGTGGATTGAGAATATTTTTCTTGTACAAAACCAAACAGTAAAAGTTATGATAGCTAGCTAGAATGAACTGTAGAACAAGGCCCCAACAGTTAAATGGACTGGACTGTACTTGTGTAGCTCCTTTCTATCTTATTTCAAGACACTCAAAGCTCTTTACAACAATCTGTGCCTCATTGACCCATTCATACAGCTCTATACTAGATCTCTACAGAGATAATTGAACAAATCATTCTAAAGAGACTAATCAGAGCTTTAGATCACATTCATGCACTGATGGGACACACATCGGAGGCTATGAGGGGTTCAGTGTCTTGCCCAGGGACACTTCAACATGTGACTGCTGGTGGATTCAAACCCCCAACTCCTGCATTGGAGGACGACTGCTCTAACCACTGAGCCACAGCCGCCCAGTTACAGAACATGTTTTTGTATTTTATTGCCCACCACCCTGCGGTGCAGTAACTCTGGGGGATAAGTGTGAGCTCTGATTGTGGCAGGAAGGACATCAGCGTAGCAGGAGCGTGAGCTGGCTGTGGTGGTGACCCTTGGTTAACTGCAACCAAAGTACAGAGGAAGAGCTTTACCTAGGTCTGTGTGTGTATTATCAACATGTTTCATTAACCATTGGACTAATTTGATGAACAAAATAAACTGAATCATTGGGTGCACAATTTCAACTGAACAAGTTTAAAGTAAATTCAATATGGCCGCCACACCTAATCAACAAGAACGAATCTTACTCACTCATCGTTATGACGCTGGTACTGAGCCAAACTATGAAGTGGTAGTAGCTGAGAGTCATTCAGTTCGCCAGATTACACGAGATAGTGTCTAATAATGTTGTTTCCAAGGTTGAACCTAAACCAAGACTTCGTAGTTTCCAATTAAAACATGATTTTCGGTTCAAAGTGTGGCACGAAAGGCGGCGGGGCCAGGCCTCCCTTCAGGCCCGATAATCAATTCGTTCATGACTTTACATAAGAAGCCTCCGTGCGTCAGCAACAACTCGAGACAGCAAACATTCTGATTAGTGCAACCAATCGTTGTGACTGACAACACGGTGCATACAGGAGACATTTCTCTACACGACACCCCGCTGGCCTCGAGGCTTGCAGCCAAGGCTAACAGGCTAACAGGCTATTAGCAACTACTCTACATCTCTACAGAAAATCAAAACAGAAGAAACGACGACACTTGACAAACGAGTTACTGTTAGGGTACAATACATACCAATCATGTGCGGAACTGAACCGGAGAGCATGAGAAGTAAAACGTTACAACATCAGTACTTTTACGCGCTAAGCTAGCTCTAAGTCCGAATGACGCCCCTCGAGCACGGATCATCCTCCACCGGGAGCACGGATCATCCTCCACCGGGAGCACGGATCATCCTCCACGGGGAGCACGGATCATCCTCCACCGTGATCACGGATCATCCTCCACCGGGAGCACGGATCATCCCCCACCGGGCCACTCACCATGTAAACAACGTTCAGGGAACACAGCGCGTTCTTCGAGCACGTAAAGCCGCCGCACACCATGTTTAAGCCCAGGCTCTCCGGCTGTGTGACAGAAAAATACTGGTGCTCCGACGGGAGCAGCCTGATCAGATGCGTGTGCGGAACCAGCCGAGAGGATCAGGCCGCGGTAACAAGTGTTGCCAGATCTCGCGATAGAAACAAGCAACCAGCGCTGTGAAAACAAGCCCAAAACAAACCCAACTGGCAACCCACCACATTGTGTAAAACAGAGGCCGTTTTGAAACAGTACAAACATACATTTATTATGGCATTACACATAAACAACAGCAAAATTATGCTAAACACTTTGAATAACATACTTTTAAGCTCTGATTAAAAAATACATCGTGCATATGTATTTAAAAAATTTTTTTTTACATGGTTTTAAAAACAAAACATCCGGACTTCTGTGCGTGAGTGGAGCCCCCTAGTGGTCGGCCACAGTATGAGTGTTTGGGGTGTGAGCCATCCATCCATTCATCCATCATTACCTTCTGCTTATTCTGCAGTCGGGTCACGAGGGCAGCAGCTTGAGCAGGGAGGCCCAGACATCTCTTTCCACAGCCACCTCTTCCAGCTCTTCTGGAAGGATTTCAAGGCATTCCCAGGCCAACCAGCGTGTCCTGGGTCTTCCCCGGGGTCTCCTCCCAGTCGGACATGCCCGAAGCACCTCTCTAGGGAGGCACCCAGATACCAGATGCCCAAACCACCTCAACTGGCTCCTCTTGGCATGGAGGAGCAGCGTGTCTACTCTCTCCCGGATAACTGAACTTCTCACCCTATCTCATGAACAAAACCCTGAGATACTTGAACTCCTCCACTTGAGGCAGAATCTCACCCTCGACCTGAAGAGAACAATCCACCCTTTTCCGGTTAAAGACCACGACCTCAGATTTGGAGGTGCTGATTCTCATCCCAGCAGCCTCACACTCTGCTGCTAACCGCTCCAGTGAGAGTGGGAGATCACGGCACGATGACGCCAACAGGACCACATCATCCGCAAAGAGCAGAGATGGAATCCTGAGGCCACTGAACCGGAAACCCTCCGCTCCCTGGCTACACCGAGAAATTCTGTCCATAAAAGTTATGAACAGAATCTGTGACAACGGGCAGCCCTGGCAGAGTCCAACTCCCACAATGAAGGGTCCGATCTACTGCCGGCAATGCGAACCAAGCTCTCGCACCGCTTGTATAGGGAATGAACAGCTCGTAACAACGAGCCCCCAATCCCATACTCACGGAGCACCCCCCACAGTGTACCCAGAGGAACGTGGTTGAATGCCTTCTCCAAGTCCACAAAACACATGTAGACTGGATGGGCAAACTCCCATGACCCCTCGAGGACCATAATGAAGATAAAGAGCTGATCCAGTGTTCCATGGCCAGGACAAAACCCACATTGTTTCTCCTGGATCTGAGGTTTGACCAGCAATCGGACTCGCTTCTTCAATACCTCTGAGTAGACCTTACCAGGGAGGCTAAGGAGAGTGATGCCCCTATAATTGGAGCACACCCTCTGGTCCCCCTTTTTGAAGAGGGGAACCACCAACCCAGTCTGCCAATCAAGTGACACTGCCCCCGCTGTCCACGTGATGTTGCAAAGGCGTATCAACCAAGACAGCCCCAACATCCAGAGACTTAAGGAAATCAGGGTGAATCTCATCCACTCCCGGAACCCTGCCGCCTCTGAGCTTTTAAACTACCTCAGAAACCTCAGCCACAGTTATGGACGGATCAGCCCTAAACTCCTCCGACTCAGCTTCCTCCATGGAAGATGTGCCAGTTGGATTGAGAAGGTCCGAGAAGTATTCCTTCCGCCTCCCAACCACATCACTGGTTGAGGTCAACAGCAGCCCACCTTCACTGAGCACAGTGTTAATAAAGTGCTACTTTCCTCTCCTCAGCCGCCTGATGGTTTGCCAGAATGTCCTCAGAGCCGACCGAGTCTCTATCCAAGGTCTCACTGAACTCCTCCCAGATTTAATTCAATTCAGTTCAGTTTATTTATTTATACAGCACCAAGTCACAACAGAAATCGTTTCAGGGCACTGAACAGTAATATTCATATATAAAATAAGTTAACAGAAACATTCATATTTAAAAATAATAATTTAACATTATTTATCTGAGGAGCGCAGCATGGTGGTGCAACTGGTAGCACTGCTGCCTCTCAGCGAGAAGGTTGCCGGTTCAAAACCCGGTCCGGGGCCCTTTCTGGGTGGAGTTTGCATGTTCTCTCCGTGCATGTGTGGGTTTTCTCCAGGTACTCCAGTTTCCTCCCACAGACCAAAAACATGCATGTTAGGCTGCTTGGTAACTCTGAACTGTCCCTAGGTGAGAGAGAGAGAGTGAGTGGTTGTTGGTCTCGTTTGTTTCTGTGTGGCCCTGTGATGGACTGGAGACCTGTCCAGGGTGTACCCCGCCCCTCGCACTGTGATTGCTGGACATGGGTACTGGCAACCCCCGTGACCCAAAATGAAAGAAGCGGATAAAAGATAATGGATGGATGGATGAAATCTATTCAATTTTAACCATTCATTTAAAGAGATGAGGTCAATTTGTCCTCTAGTAGTCTAAACTTAAGCCAACCCTAATTATAGGATTTATCAAAAAGGAAAGTCTTAAGCCCAGTCTTAAAACTGGGCAATGTGTCAGCCTTATGGACAGAAACTGAAAGTTGGTTCCACAAGAGAGGAGCCTGATAACTGAAAGATCTTCCACCCATTCTGCTTTTGGAAACTCTAGGGACCCTGAGATAACCTGCAGTCTGAGAACGAAGTGCTCTGTTAGGAAAATATGGAACAATAAGATCTCAAATATAAGATGGAGCTAGGTTGTTGAGGGCTTTGTAGGTTAGAAATAAGATTTTGAATTCAATTCTGTATTTGACAGGGAGCCAATTGAAGGAAGCTAAAACTGGAGAGATATGATCTCTCCTAGTAACTCCAGTTAAGACTCTGGCAGCAGCATGTTGGATCAACTGAAGACGTTTTAAAGAAGTATTTGGACACCCAGATAATAAACCAATGCAATAGTCCAGTCTAGACGTGACAAATGCATGGACCAGTTTTTCTGCATCATTTTTAGATCAGATTTTCTAATTTTAGTGATATTACGCAGGTGGAAGAAGGTGGTTCTAGTAAATCCAACAATTTTCAGTCAGGTCATCTGGACCGTTTCTTTTTTGTGCTGAAACGTTTCACCTTCCATCCGGAAGGCTTCATCAGTCAAGGAAACACACAACATAAAACGTATTCTTCCCCCAACAGCTTACTCCAAAGTGGAACAAACCAGTTATGTCTGTCGACGAGGAAGAGGGCCGGCACTGGAGGAGGCGGCGTGCCAAAGAGACCATCTTAGCACCAACATAACTGGTATGTTCCACTTTGAAGTAAGCTGTTGGGGGAAGAATCAGTTTTGGGTTGTGTTTCCTTGACTGATGAAGTCTTCTGGATGGAAGGTGAAACGTTTCAGCACAAAAAAGAAACGGTCCAGATGACCTGATTGAAAATTGCTGGATTGTGTACCAGGATTATTGCGCATGGACTTTGTTGGTTCTAGTAAAGTTGTTAATGTGGGGGATAAATTCATGTCCTGATCAAAAATAACACCAAGATTTTTAACATTAGAGCTGGAGGCCAAATTAATGCCATCCAAGGAGGGAGAAAACTGTAAAATTAATTCCCAAGATGCTCAGGTCCATAAACTAAAACCCCAGTCTTGTCTGTGTTCAACAGTAGAAAATTTAGGGTCATGCAGGTTTTATGTCTTTAAGACATGCTTGTAGTCTAAGTAGCTGACTGGATTCATTGGGTTTCATGGCCAAATATACAGTGCCTTGCGAAAGTATTCGTCCCCCTTGAACTTTTCAACATTTTGCCACATTTCAGGCTTCATACATAAAGATATAAAATTTTAATTTTTTGTGAAGAATCAACAACAAGTGGGACACAATTGTGACGTGGAATGAAATTTATTGGATGTGTCGAACTTTTTTAACAAATAAAAAACTGAAAAGTGGGGTGTGCAATATTATTGGGCCCCTTTACTTTCAGAGCAGCAAACTCAGTCCAGAAGTTCAGTGAGGATCTATGAATGATCCAATGTTGTCCCAAATGACTGATGATGATAAATAGAATCCACCTGTGTCATCAAGTCTCCGTATAAATGCACCTGCTCTGTGATAGTCTCAGGGTTCTGTTCAAAGTGCAGAGAGCATCATGAAGACCAAGGAACACACCAGGCAGGTCCGAGATACTGTTGTGGAGAAGTTTAAAGCTGGATTTGGATACAAAAAGATTTCCCAAGCTTTAAACATCCCAAGGAGCACTGTGCAAGCAATCCTATTGAAATGGAAGGAGTATCAGACCACTGCAAATCTACCAAGACCCGGCCGTCCCTCTAAACTTTCATCTGGAACAAGGAGAAGACTGATCAGAGATGCAGCCAAGAGGCCCATGATCACTCTGGATGAACTGCAGAGATCTACAGCTGAGGTGGGAGAGTCTGTCCATAGGACAACAATCAGTCGTACACTGCACAAATCTGTCCTTTATGGAAGAGTGGCAAGAAGAAAGCCATTTCTCAAAGATATCCATAAAAAGTGTTTAACGTTTGACACCTGGGAGACACCAAACATGTGGAAGAAGGTGCTCTGGTCACATGAAACCAAAATCCAACTGTTTGGCCATAATGCAAAATGATATGTTTGGTGTAAAAGCAACACAGCTCATCACCCTGAACACACCATCCCCACTGTCAAACATGGTGGTAGCAGCATCATGGTTTGGGGCTGCTTTTTGTCAGCAGGGACAGGGAAGATGGTCAGAATTGATGGGAAGATGGATGGGGCCAAACACAGGACCATTCTGGAAGAAAACCTGTTTGAGTCTGCAAGAGACCTGAGACTGGGACGGAGATTTATCTTCCAACAAGACAATGATCCAAAACATAAAGACACATCTACAATGGAATGGTTCACAAATAAACGTATCCAGGTGTTGGAATGGCCAAGTCAAAGTTCAGACCTGAATCCAATCGAGAATCTGTGGAAAGAGCTGAAGACTGCTGTTCACAAACGCTCTCCATCCAACCTCACTGAGCTCCAGCTGTTCTGCAGGAAGAATGGGCAGAACTTCAGTGTCTCCATGTGT